ATCACTGTTTATTCGTCTCTGTTGGTTTATTAGTTTGTGCTGTGCAACTCTGTTTGCCTCCAGCTTGCTTGACAGCTTGCCTCCACTGGGAATAGAGTGGCCTCGGTGTCCCAGCTCTAAATATACACCAATTTTCACCTAATGTTCAGTTTGTTTAAAGTCAGCGCTGTCTGGGAAAACCCTGGAAGGCACTGAGGATATTGTGGATTTTTTGGTGTTGTAATGCAGCTGAAAATTTAGTAATAGCCCAAAAGTTAAATAGACAGTATTTGTTGAATACTAACAGTTAGACTTTACTGCTTTGGAGGCGTTGTTGTTATTATAAATATTTTTGGATGTCAAATTATAATACTTTTAAATTCGGACTCAGTGTTGTGCATATTGCATGTTAATCAGTCTATGACATGGCTTAAAATGTCACCAGTTTATTTATTTATATGTGTATTTGACTGATTCACTGGTATTTCTGATCTCATCATCTTACAATTTTGGAATAGAACATCACAATATTAATAGATGCAATTGGAGAATTCATTTTCTAATCGTCTATTTTGCAAAGCTGTGACCTTTTGATTTGAACTGTGGCCAAATACCTTTTATTCTCTTTAACTATAAGTAACATAAACCTGTTTTTTTTTTTCTTTACAACATTATAAAACACAATTAACATAACAATATAATGGGTTTTCTTGAACAAAATAATAGCTTTAATCAAAATAGTTTTTTACTAGCGGTTTTTCAATAGATGAAAATTCTCTGTTAGATGACAGTCTGTACAAGTAAACCTTAACTAAAAAAGATTAAACTGCTTTTCTTTCATGACTTGTTATGAAGTATTAGGTTGGGAGAAAATGTGAACGTTATATAACACTGCAGGCAAAATTTCAAGATTATTTTAAAACAAAAAAACAAAAAATAAATGAAACAATTGCACGTTTGTCATTTCAAGATGTCTTTAGTAGCTCATATTGATGATTTACATCAGCAAAGGGGTTAGCATCACTAATCAATGGATTTATCTATGAAGTCCATGTTAGATCCTTAATTTATCTGGATACTTTACATAAAGCCTGATAAAATTTTAGAAAACTGTGTTTTTCATTGCAGATTTTTAACCTTAATAGAAAAAATGAGCAACCTTTCTATGATGTGTTCAGCCTTTCTGTTATTCACTGAACCCAATGGACAATGATGAATGTAATAGAAAAACAGTGAAAATACTTCTGTAAAATACATGTTTTAATTTCTGGATGATTATTTCAACATTTGTCCCCCATTTTAAATATTCCACTTACACTGAAATTAGCTAAATTTAACAAATACAGTAAGAAGTTTAAAACGCAGATGTTGAAAGAGTGTCCTAAAAATTCAAAACAAATTTTTTTTCTCCCCTGTTCTCTGTGTATTAATGTGAACAATATAAAAAAATATGTATTTTGATAAAATCATTCCCTATTTGTAATAAGCTAATTGCCACATCTCTAAAACATAATAAAAATTAAAATCTGAACCACTTCAAAATAAAAATATTAATCTGATTAGTGCCTGGCGTAAAATCAATGCATTGCCCTCTAACCTCCAACTCTGACTCTAATGTGATTAACTATTAGTAATATAGTAATAGTTACACTACAGCTACTCCCAAAAGGAATAAAAGTAAAAAAAAAAATATATAAAAAAAAAAGAACTTATGCAATTTTGGTAGATATGTCACAAAATGGGTAGAATAAAAAAATAAAGCATAATTTTAAAATTGTCAAACAATATGCATCATTTATAATGAAACTATCATTGCTTTGGACATTAAGGATGGCGAGCGCATGAAGTCAGAGCCTTAATGGGCCAAGTTTTTAATAACCAGACTTTGATATTTTCCTTTTTTTTTTTTTTTTTTTTTCATTTTTAGTATTTTTGTTAAAGCTACAGTGTGTAATAATTACAGGGATATACAGTCAGAAATGTAATATATTATACATAACTATGTTATTTATCATCATCTACGAGCTCAGCCTCTTAACCTTAATATTTGCGTTGCCTTAGAATTCGTTATTTATAATTACATAGGAGCGGGTCTCACAGCCATTGAGGCAGACATCTTTGCGCTACGGCAGCGCAGAGCCAACAAACTAGCGATTGCGAGATCGCCCATTACGCTCGAAAGTAACTACGGCAAGTTGAGAGAGATGAACTGAGACGGTACTGAACAGTAGATGGCAGTAATAAAATTATCTATGTAAACAAACCTCATCACTTGAGAAGGTAGGTGATGCGGACGTCGTGGAAGACATTTTGTCCCGTAATGCTCGCCGTACTGTTGGGGGGGAGAAGCGGTGGGGGGAGATGTTCATGTTGCTGCGGTCTGCAGTCTGGACGTTAGATGTCGCTGAAAATTACACACTGTAGCTTTAAGTTAATCTGTTTAGTGTATGGATGCATTGCAAAGGTACGAAAACAAAAACACATATTGAGAATCTGCTCGGCCCACCTGGAAGGAATTTGGGTTATGAAGAAACTTTTGATCCAGCTTGAAAAAAAATAATGTTTTATCCTTCTGACTTTTCCCAACAGTAAAGGTTTGAGAGAGAGAAAGTGGAAGTTCATTTAACAGTGGTGGGCCTTAAACATTTCTTACAACTACCTTATGGTCCTCAAAGTTCCTTTTGAAATGAAGAATTTTGTTTCCACTTTGTTTGCAGTGGGTCCAGAAAAGTGAAATGACTCCCATTTGTTGACGATTGTTATCAAGACCTTTACAGAGATAGCTGTCAGCAGAGGGTTCTCAGTTCAAATGGCTTTCTGTTGTGTATATATAAGTGGTAGATGACTCAATGCAGTCATCTGTATTGAAAACATCCCTCTAGCAGACAATGGAACAGCTGAGTATTAATTAACAGAAGTGCAGTTCACACCTCTAAGTCTGGAGTCTTTTTCACAGAATACTTTAGAGGCAGTTCTATTTCTGACTGAGCTGCTGTGCATGACAGAAACAACTCAAGGTTCCTTGTATGCTGTTGTTGAGTGAAAGTAAAAGAAGCTTTTTACCATTAAACTGAGGCAGAGTCTGCAGAGAAGTCAGCTTTTTTCAAGACAATAGAAAACTATCAAATTAGCACTCTGCTTAAGTTTTAGCCCACACACACATATATATATATATATATATATA